AAACGTTTATTTTAAACTACTCCCACTCTCTAATGCATATAAACCCTATTGTAAATCGGCTAATTCATTATGGTCAATAAAGGCTTTACAATCCGGTATGGACTCAATACACTTCAATTCCATTCAACGCAACCCAAATCAACTCAACGCAACTCAGCCTAACTCAACTCAACCCAATACAACACAACACAACCCAATTCAAATCAGCCAGCGGATCTTAGGAAGCCGATAGACAACACTGGTGATATTTGGCTATTGATCGACATCACACTCCACGATTCAGAAAAAAAACCCACCACATGCAGACTCTGTACGAAAATAACAAACAAAGACATAAAAAGGTTGCTATGTACCCCTAGTCTGGATTACAGTTCCTTCCATAACAAATTAATTAGGAATCAAAGCATAAAACGAAAGATATCATTCAGGAAGGAAATGCAGAATACCTTCCTGGAGATAAATTTTGAGTAAGATATCAAACTACGTAAATAATTCATTTTAAATAATGATAATGAACAGAAAATGAAAACCTGGAGAGTAGCCATCCTGAGGAAGCAGAAACGGCAGTTGCAGTTGTGGTTCTTCTTCAAGTTTTATGGATGCTTCATCTTGTGTTGCCATCGCATCTGCATGAATTTCCGCAAGCCGCACAATACTTTCAACTAGTTCATTCAAAACTGGCTCTTCACCAACATCTAGCACTATATGCTCAAGGAACCAACGTACCTTAAAAATTTGCATGCTATCCATCAATCATGTTGAATTCCAAACATTGTTAAATAGGTACACCATTTGAAACGTTCTGTGTACGTATATATGTTTGGTGCATTATGCTCCAACTAGCAACACTTGAAATTTTGGGACCAAGTTTACGGGCTTCCAGGTTTTCAGGGATTTAATAAATTGTTTTACCAAAAGTTTGTGGAAGCATGATCATAGTTATGCGAGAATTCTGGGTTTGCAACCATTTGTCAGTCTCTCACAGCATATCAGTTTGCAAGCGAATCCTGGGAATGGAAGAATTAATGATTATTTCTCCCCAAAGGAATTCCACCAGCAAACTTTTTGTTCGGAAATATTTCGACACAAAAAAGAAACTCCAAAAGTTAGTACTAACCTGTACACTATTCAATTTGTAGCACGTTGCACCCAAATTACTGATCTGATCAACAGTTTTCGGTGTTACAAGAAGAATTATTGCTTGATTGATACGATCCATGTGACATTCAGCTGCTAGTTCCAGTCCTTGCTGGTAGGCCCACTCATTCACGTAACCAAGACGAGTTCGTAGCCTAAAGTCAACATATCTAGCCTTAATCAAAAATAGTATAGCTGGATTTATAACACTTGGATAAATGCAACAAATCAGAGGCCACAAATCAAAAAAGATACTACAATTGAAACTAATTTTAGATTAATCACTGACAATTTTGAATCTGCTTTCATTAATATTTGTAGTTAGTTTTAATCATGGGATTTGAGTTCCGAGATTTTTTCAGCCAAAACTGAATATATTACAACATAGTGGTTATAAAAGACAGCACACTGATCTGAGCTATGGATCCAATTACATTGTATTCCTACCAAATCCGTGAACTTCCAGTAGAATATGCAATTGTGTGACAAATTAAACCAATTTAGTTGGAACAATTGTGGCGCTAAACGTACCGAACACCGAAGGCTCGACTACAATAAGGTATGCCAGATGGAGATACAAGCCAATTGAAAAGCACGACATTTATGTAATAAAATAATTGCGAGAATAATTGAATCGTTAATGCTGCATTCAAGCGACAGTGACGTAACAAACACATAATTTCCTCCAGTCTTGCGACCATGTCATCTGAAATACGACTTTAGCCTAGAAATTTTAGCTAAACTCTCAGAAAATTATTTCCAAAAATACTATTAATTAGTGATTCATTGGAATGGTAAATATAATAAGGATAATAGATTTATCCATATTTTCCTCAACCAAACTGTTCACTAAAGGCATGTGTGAGTAACATAGAATCTAGACAAATAAGTAGCTTAGGACAATAAGTCTGATTAAAATTTCTAAGCTCCCTGTCTAATAATGATTTGCTTGGAATTTTGAACTTTTATTCTCAACAATGATGCTTCTGTCTTTTCCTTAACTTTAAAAAGTTTTAAAGATACACTACTACAATACAGATTATTTCTCATTATCCCCATAAAGAGTTCAGATTTCTAGAAAATCTGAAATAAAAAAAAAAACTTTTATTGCCCATAAAAAATGAAACCTACGTGAAGCAGATCGATCATCCAAGAATGCATCTCTGATTGAATTCAACGTGCTGTCTAGACTGCTTTTTAAAACTGTTCCCAACATTTCAAATGTCTTCTCAACACAACCAGCTAAAATCTGCTGAGGCATACCACGTGACAATAATGATAAGTCGATATCCTGCTTGAAGAAATTCAACAATTCGCTTGAATTTGCCAGCCAGAATCCCAGAGACTCCCGTGATCGTTGTTGCTACAATATTTTTGAGTTGTGAAATTGTAGCTTCGAAAGAAAAGTCATCGGAACCAAATCTTTCCAGAATCATATGTGATTATTATAGCATGAAAAGACCGTTAAGATATTCTAGAATTTAATTACAAAAACTACTCTAACAAAGTGGTTTAAGATTAAACATAATAATGATCAATTTAATAACATGAAAAATTTGCACATTATCTCTCCTCCGGGAAATTTCCCTCACTTCTTTTTTTTCTGGAAAATTATCTACTCACTGTGTCAGATCTACCCATTATTAGTTGATTTGGAAATAGAATTCAGAAAGAGAATTTGAAGCATAATATTATCGCTAATAGAAAAGTGCCTCATTTAGCTGAATATATCATCTGCGAGAAGGTAAATATTTAATTTATTACCTCTGTATACTATTTCGAAATTAATAAAGTGCTTTGTAAACTGTTCTCATCTGTTGATAGCTCGATTTTTTGTCAATAGTTCAGTTTTTAATTCCACATCAACTTATCAAATCAAAACTGAATTAAAAAACCTTTGAAACAAGTAAAAAACGATTAGCAGCTTTTGTTAAAAATAGCTGTAGTCGTGTACGGCTATCACCAATAGAATCCGTTTGTGAAGGGAACAAAAGTCGATGGCGTGCAACCACATATACCACGTATGCAGGTGTAAGCTTAAACTGTGCATCTTCTCTTTCAGGACAAATTAGTAGATGCAGAAATTCGTCTTCCGCTGAAAAAAGAACCCCAAATTATAGTTTTCAAAAATTGCAAAAGGAAAAATACATTTTTGAAATAGATACAATCTTACTTGTTCAATAAACTTTTTTAAATACTTTGAGAAATCGTTTGTTTGTTTGGCAAATTTCATATTTAACCGAAAATGACAAATTATGCATATTTGTTGAAAAAAAAATAAGTATGCATAATTTAGCAATTTAGTTATTTTGAAAACTTTTCATTTTTCGAAATCACAAACCTTCTTCCCTTACTTCAGCCAACGCTGGTAACGTATCAGTAGAAAACATTGGCTTCTCCGTTCCAAGTCTATTTATAGTAGACGTTGAAACATCCCCTAATCTTCCGTTTACTGTCGATGATGACGTTAGCCTGAAATGATGAAACTTCAATTTGAAGAATGAGGTTAACTAAGAAGAAGATAATGTCTATAAATAGGCTGTAATAATGAGGCAGAAAGAGGTAAGTTGGATAATCTCTTCATGGAAAGCTGGGATAGAGAGAGACAGGTTGGATTCGGTAAAGGGATAAGCAATGCTAAGCTGGAATCAGCAATGAGATAAGCAATGCTAAGCTGGGTTAATGCTCAAAAAAATAAGATAAAAAGATCAGAAATGAAGGATAAATCAAGGAAATTTGAAGATAGCAAAATATGAAAATGATTTGAAATACGCAAATCGGCTCAAAATAAAAAGGCTAAACTATAGCTAATTCTGGTGCAAGAATGTATTTTTAATCGATTTTGTTAATATTTTATGTGAATAGACAAGAAGACACAGTTTGAATGGAGAAATATGCAAAAAAAAAATCAAAATAGTCAGCGTGACGGTTTGACGGATAATCTAAGAAACACTCCGGAAAGAATAAATTTTTAAAAATAAAAAGAAGGGAATTATAAAAAAGAGATTTTCAGCATAAAAAGAAAACTTTCAGTTTAAAGAAAACAGTAGAACTACAGTGGAATTCTCTTTGAGTGCATTCTAAAATTCGTATCAGCAAAGAAAAGAAGCAAAGAATATAACGATGAGGACAACGCAAAAAAAAAGATAAAAAACAAAAAACAAAAAAAAAACTTCTTTATTTATTGTATCGTAGTATGTATTACGACTAATTAATAATTGCCTAATTTTTAAAGAGGGACTAATTTTATTTTATTAATAGTTGCCGAATTTTTTTTGGAAAAACTGGTCTGTTTTTGCCATCAGTTAAGAAATATTAGAAGTGCATTAAAAGTTATGAGTAATTAGTAAATGCCGAAACAATGAATGCCAAAATTAGTGGATGCTAAAGTTAATTTCATATCAAAATTGGAGCAATGATAAACACCAAGGTTGATGAGAACTCGAATACAACAATTCATATCTTTAAAAATAAAATGTATTCAATTTTCTTCACAAAAAAGTTTCACGAAAAAAGTTGGAAAATTTTTCACAACTAACTGAATTGAAAAGGAAAATTCAGTTTGATTTGCAAACATGCCAATTAGATATAAATTGATTCCCTGCAATACATGCAACTTTATCAAAATGCAAATTATAATGGCTCACAATCGGTTGAGTAGATCAGATGATATCGTCCGACTCATTGCTAGTTCATTCTTTTTATTAGCAGCAATAGTAGCAGCAATATGTAATGGAATATCAGTCATTGATTTACACCTCATATGGGCTGCTAAACCTGGAAGTGGTATGCCAAGGAGATGTAAAGTTTTGTTTGAACCAGGACGATGATTAACCCAGAATGATGATTGCACTCCCGGCGTAGTTGCAATTGGAGTCGATATCATATTGCCGGCAACATCGAAAGTTGTCTCCATCCTTTTCACACTGCTAGTTACAGAACTAAGAAAAAAAAGAAAATTTTTGATAAATTCCATAAAAGAGAGATATCACAATGACTCACAAATGGAAAAACGAATTCAGGCAGAAAAGAGAAATAGACTTGAATCAGTTCGGTCCAAAAATTTAAATTTATTTGGAAAATATGTCTCTCTTGAATAGCAGAATTTAAATTTTCAAACATAGTAAAATTCTTCCACAGAACCCAGCACTGACACCTTTGCCATCGTCCCACAGTAGTGATAACGTTTGAGATGTGCCAAAACATGAAATCCTATATTTTTGGAAGAAATCTGTTAACACTTGAAATTTGTAGTAATTTTTTAAGAAAAAAAAATCAGCACTATGGCAGAAAAAAAGAAAGAAAATCCCCTAACTAATCAAATAATTATATTAAAGGTAGTAAAAAATTGACCCATGAACATCAGACGATCCGTATATCATCAAAACTATGGGATATTTGCGAAAGAGAAATATTCCGCATATGTTAAGTTGTACTAAACGCAAATAGTTATGATACAAAAGGAAACAAGAATACTTCGAACCAGTTTACCTTGATTTACCAATAAGCTTACTGCTTCCCTGACGTTCTTTAAGGTTTAAGATTTTTAGGATAGCATGCTTAATCACGATGCAAACGTGGTAACAGAAACAGAGCTTGAAATGGAAAATTATCGACTATGGATAACAGCTCACTGCGAGAACAATAGCTATCACTGTGATTATTTGCTCGCACGATTACGTTCTTATCAGTAACTACCTGTCTTAAACAAACAGAGAAGAAATTCTCGTCATATGCAAATAAACTATTTCCATACTGCAAATCTTCGGAAATGCAATCAAGATTTTGGATACCTTTCAAAGTCTTCACTTTCAATAAACTATATATTTTGCTATTCTCGCTGCAATCTTCACCCTATGTGTTTCGATATTTTTCAAATCATCTAAGGGGAAGATCAGAAAAATAAAATAGTTATCAAGCTATAAACTCGATTATGCTCTTAAAAAAACACACAAAACAAACAAAAGACATCAACAATAAAGAAGTATTAGTTCTTCAGATTATTTTTACTTTACAATGAGTCATAACAAATGTCATCACCATCACTTAAAAATATTATTCTATTCTAATTATCTGTTTCCATACATCCACCATATCATAGATATATACATATATATATATGATATGGTGGATATATATGTATATATATATATATATATATATATATATATATATATATATATATATATATATATATATATATATATATATATATATATATA